TCTCCACACTCCCATTGTATTATAATATGCGTTTATTTAACGTTATATTGATAAACAAAAAACAGTTAATTTCGCCTATTTCTTATATAAATTCAATCTTTATTATAATCAATGGATATTAATTAGTTGACTTGAATGATGAATAAATAAAAATTTTTATTGTTTTAAATCCTGTAACATATACAATATATATGCAGTAACAAATCTTAGTATCACTGATGTTCGTTTCAAAATATACTATTCTCTATTGTTTTTTATTCAATAACTTAAAAATGCAACCAACTAGATATCTGCAGTATTCATCAATCGATAAAAGGCTTGAAGGAGCACATGTTTCTAGAAGAACAAACATCCAATATTTGTTTGAAGGTACTTCATTTTCTAAATCCCATAAAAATTTGACTTTAAGATCATGACAGTCGAAGTAGTTTGTTTTTAATTTTTCTACGATGGATAGATTCACTGGCATATCTATCTATTTGCCAAAGTTCAACTTTAATAAGTATTGTAATTCAAAACATATTCTATTCATATTAGACTTCACTTATCTCCTTATTTTCTTTTTTTGTTTAATCAGAAAACAAATATCAATAGAGTTAATCAACAATGATAGATCGATTGTACAGTAATGACCGTTTTCTAACGAGCATACAACTATACAGAAAGATGTACAATATTGATTATGAAATCTTTTTAGACTATAGGATTAAATAACATCACTTAATCTACAAGAAGATTTGAAAACATATTATATACAATTTGTTTTAAACCGAATGGATATGTATAGTCAAGGAGGGTGTGGGTGTGGGTGTGAGCAAAAAGAAGGATACCTTGACACCCACATCTCACTCACACAAAAAGACTTTTTCAATTGTTTCAAATAAGTATTTATTGTAATATATATGTGTTTCTGTTTAATTGCAATATTTGTGATAAAAGTTTCAATACGAGATAACAATACAGATCTTCGACTCATTAATATTCTTAATTAAGCAGTGGAATATTTGATAGTCATCGAAGAGTTGTTATCAATAAGCTGTTTTTCGTAAATTAAAACATATCAAAATACATTCAAAGTAGCAGATAAATATGTTCAACAAGTAGTTGATACAACACTTGACGACAACAAGGATGATAAGATCTTGTATAATAATAACAGAAATCATGCATCGTTTGATGATTTACGAAATTTTGATGATGATGACAGAATCAGATGGATCAAATACTAGCTATCGATTAGATTGTTTTCTTGGAAAATTTTGATGCATCTTCATCATTGATATAATATCTTTACTATCACACTCTACTATGAGTGATAAAATAAAGCATGAATAAAATTAAATGTATTAGAAATGCTGATGGAGCAAAATTTCATAACCCATGGTAAAAAACTTTCACTGTAATAGCATTCTTGACAGAAAATGATCATTACTGCACGATCTATCATAGTTGATTAATTCTGCTGGCATCCGTTATCTAATTATTCAAATAAGAAAATAAGGAGATGAGTGAGCTTCACTAAAAATAGTATATGTTTTCAATCACAATAATGCTTAAAGTCCACCTTTGGCAAAATGATGATTGAAATATTTCTATCAGAGATCGATATGAATAAGAAAATCTTAATTCAATTTCCATTCGATTCGACAAAGTTTCTATTCGATTCGATTAGGTTTGAGTCCTCTAAAAAACCTAGGGTGTGAGTGTAGATGCCGAGTCGTGTTAGTGTTTGCCTTTTCTTTAATGTCGATCATACCCACACATACATCCGACACTCTTAATTATAAATGGTGAATTAGACTATCATTTAGTAATAAAATATTGTATTCTTAGAACTTCAATACATTTGTATGATGAAGTTGTACCTTTGTTAACTAGTGTAATAATAAGAGGACAAAATAAATGAAAATGAAAATAATAAGGACGAATATTTTTCATATTATGATAACTATTGGAAAAGATTTCTTTCTACTTACCAGACTTCCATTGTTGAAGTTGCAAGTAGATCAAATGTTTATTCGTTTTGCGATCAAATTCAACGTTTTTAACACAAAATCTAACATCAGGTGTGACAAGTTCTTCTTCTTCATTTGGATATTCAGACATCTCACTGATATCAACAACAAAAGCAGACTCAACCTCCATAATGAATAAAGTATTTCCCAATTCTTCTGTTTTTTCACGATTTCGACTACACGATGTGAAGGCTTCAAATGATCGATATTCATTGCGTTGTTTAGCCATTTCTTTGTAATTAACAATTTGTTCAGACTTCAAATTTGCTCCTCTATAAAGTGTCTTTTTGGTTTTCAATTTCGTTTTAAATGGATCATTCCAGAGCAATAAACAAAATGGTCTTAATGTACGAATTTTACTTTTCCATTCTTGTTCATGATCTTTGTTTCCGACTAATCTCATTGTCGTATTCAACGTTTTATAGAGGAAGCTTTCCAACGAATAAATGTAAGCACATTGCTGCCATACTTCTTTTATTCCTTTGTTTTTTTGTTCTCTAAGAATTTCAGCCAATTTTTCAGCTTGTCGTTCTTTTCCAATATATTTTCCTTCTTCAATAATACCACGAGCAGCTTCTTCAACAAGCATGGGAATCAAATCCGGCTTTTTTGATGGTAATTCTTCTGGTTTAAGATTCAAGTTTCTTCTAATTTCGATGACAAATGGCGATATCCAATCATATTGACCGCCTAAAGAACCTCTTGAAGCAACAGGAAGATCCATAAAACGCTCTTCCCGTAAATTTTTATCTTTCCTGTTACGCATCATTCGCTTTACAGGTCTTTGCTTATCACTATTTGTGTTGGATATTTGTCGATTATTTCTAAAATCAATATAATATCCATCTAACAGAGCTTTTGACTGTTTGTTTGAAAATGCTTCCTCAATAATTAAATTTTTTACATCCGAATAATGATCCCATTCTGTTGGTTCAGTTGTCGACCATGGATCTGGATTCGATTGCCACATCCATTCAATATGATTTAAAGAGTTATTTGATGATGTAGGTATTGCGTAAGCCATAACTATTAGCAATTTCTTTACTCGTCTTTTCAATATGATAAATATATTAATTGTCACTTACTTTTTCATCTGAAAATTTTTAAAACACTTAAGGATCAAATCAACGAGGAAAAAGCAAAAATTTAGTCCCAAAATCTAAATAAAACGAGAACTCATATCACGTCTCTTGAATGCGCATAAGTTTTTTTGCATCTTCACAAGTCTTTTTAGATTATTTCTAAAATTTTCAAATAGCTTAAAATCTTTTGAACTCTTGGAATTTGCTTTTGTTCCATGGAGTAAAATGTGTTTAATTTAATTTTTGTTACGTAATCATTTCAACGCATTTAAATTTCATTCGATAATCAAATGTAGGAATACGATAATGACTGACTTTAATAATCTATAAAATGATGTGTTAAATATGAGCCATGCTTATCGAAATTACTCTAATATTATTTTAATTTCTTTTTCAAGCTTCAAAACTTTCTCAAATAAATCTGTTCATCTTCTCCGATGCAACAAAAATCAAACTAAGAAAGAAAGTTTAATGGAAATATATATAACGAAAAAACAAACAGATATTTGCTATTATTCATCGATACAAGATTTACACTAGAACTTGAGAAATATTTAGGGTGTGGATGGGTGTGAGTGTTAGGATTGGCAGAGAGAAGAACCACACCCATCCACCCTCCCCGCATTCACATCTACGCCCTTGGGGATCTTTAGAATTATACATCATATAGATAGCAATAGATTCTCTTTTTTTCACGAGGAGCGACTAGGAGATCTTTGTACGTCTTTAGAATGATATGTATATTTTTATATTCAGAAAAGAAATGAATAATTCTAAGGATCCATAAAGACTATCTAGTTTCCAATCGTTAAAACAAGGGCGTCTATTGCTATGGATATGATGGATAATTCTATAGAGTCCCAAAGATTCCATAGTCTCTCTATCCAGAATAAAAGGAGTGTGCAGCTGTCTTTAATATGAATAATGTCAAAGAAGCAGAGCTTGATCCAAATCAATGAAAGGATTATATGTTTTATGCCTTCGGTAGCTCTTTCTTGTCGCTGACTATTCGATGATGTCTTTTTTCAGCATCAGTTGCGCAGTGTGGACCGATGCTTATGAAGGCAGAAACCACTAAAAACAGTCTGTTGGTGTTTTAGACTTTCTTCTCTCACTGGTTGGGTGTAACGTTCGACTGTTGTAGAGTAGGTATTAGGCTTTGTAATCAGCCTATTTATTTATGGTCCGGTCAGATCCAAAGTGACCCGAATATTGTTTAGGCGTGCTCGACTCGGTCCGGAGCCGAATGAAATTTCGTTTACAAAGATTCTTTTTCTCAATAGGCAGCTATTCTATAGTTTTCGATTTCTATACAAAGTAATGACCAAGGAGGGAAGGTAGCGTGGATAAACTTTTCTTTATATCCCTTCAGAGTGAACCAAGTCTCAAGAAATGTTTTTGTCAAAAAAGGATAAAATCGTCGGACCGAGTCAGACTGTCCGTTTCGAGGTCTGGTAAGTACTAGACTGGTCCGTCGCAGTCTCTTGAGTATTGGTTTTCTTTTTGTAGATTCTCTAACCTCCCGTCCTTGGGAAAAGTGGGTGGCCGTTTTATTGTAGCAAAATTCAGTTTGAAATCAAGTTACCCAGAGACTTAAATCGGGATAAGTCAGGATAACCCGGAATAAACTAGTATGGACTTGTATAAATCACTACAGTCGGGGGTTATAAGCCGTTGTCGGTGGGCATTAACTGGTACTGACAGGTATATAAGCCAGTATAGGTTCGTGTAAAATGGTAAACGACTGTAAATCAGTATGAACACGCATGTAAGTCGTTATCGGCCGGTATAAACTGGTATAGGTCGCTATAAACCCATGTAGGCCGGTAAAAATCACTATAAGCCAATATACAAGTCGCTATCGACTGATTAAAGTGAGTTTCCAGGTAAGCAGTCACGAATTAGACCGACTTCTGGAAAAACAGTAACCGGTCAAGATCGTAGTTTCTTATCGTCATACTCCTATTCTGCATCAATAAAAAACTTCGGCAGAAGTTGTGACTTTACCGCAATGTTAGAGCCGTAAGAGCTAGACTCGTGTAGTCTATAAGTATAGTTATCAGTAAAATCTCAGTGTTGTAAAAGACATTCATCTCGACAGGATTTGTGGTGGGATTAATGAAGCTATAAGAAGTGCTGCAAGTACTGTTATTGACTTGATTTGCTTAGTATCTCCCATCAAGCTTCTTTGAAATTCCTTTCTAGTGATTAAAAAAGCTTCGTTTTTATTGCCTGTCATATTTTGTTGTTAGTACTTAGGTCATACCAAAAATAGTTATCGAGGTACTTTAATTCTTTATAAAAGGCTTTAAGAAACTTTCTTTCTAAATATTCTGATAGAGAAATGAATGCTCCATTCTTCTATGCTATTTGATCGTACGTCAACTAATATCATAATAATAAACTTTCGATAAGACTTGTTTTACTATGATATGTGCCTGGTAGTACTAGTGCCTATTTGATATTTTTCTAATAACTTTTAATACAAACAAGATAGAGAACTGCGGTTTTCATCGTTCGAAAGTGGGATCAACGGGTATCGAATCATGTATTATACATTTTCCTAGTATATGGTCTGTTGTTTGTTTAATCAATATTTGATGTGCGAAAAAAATGGTGTCTTATCAAAAAAGAAACAGAAAAAATTTATTTTACATAAATTGTCAGAAAAATCACTTAAAACTTCGACTAGCATACCTATTACTTTTGAATGCTTAATTCTTAACCTCTGAGCCTTGTACAGCTTTCTGAATCTTCCATGCGCGGTTTCAATAAACACTTGACAATTGAGAAGTCATTGTAAACATCTCACGAAAAGATTTGTTTTCAAAAAGGTCAATTGCAAACCTTTTAAAAGTTGCGTAAAAAAAACGTATAATATATGACTCGCCGCCTGTTGATCTCCTCTTTCGAACGATGAAAATCTCAGTTCTCTATCTTGTTTGTATCAAAAGTTATTAGAAAAATATCAAATAGGCACTGGTACTATCAGGCACATATCATAGTAAAACAAGTCTCATCGAAAGTTTGTTATTATGATGTTAGTTGACGTACGATTAAATAGCATAGAAGAATAGAGCATTCATTTCTCTATCAGACTATATAGAAAGAAAGTTTCTTAAAGTCTTTTATAAAGAATTGAGCAGCTCCGTAACTGTTTTTGCGATGACTTAAGTAGTTACTCTTAGTCTCCTATTTTAATTTTGTCACTAGCCTCATAATGTTGTAAATTATAGTAAATGAAATGTATTTACGTCTTTAATGATACTGCAGTATGCGAGTTTGTCGTGTATGTTTGTAATCGATTTTACTGCGTATTTATCTCTGACAAAATTACTTGGATTTTACCAACATATCTATGCTTATGTAAATTAATAATGTATGACATTTTCATCAGCTACACAGTTTTTTTTATTAATCTCCTCATCATCACACTTATTTTGTTCTCTCAATATTCTTCTGTTTTTTTTCTTTCCTGTATCTTTTGTGTTGTTACGATAAGAAAATATCCATTAATATTCACAGACACGAACGTATAATAATTAAGTATCGAAATCTCTTTCTGATGCATAGAAGAGATAATAGTCTTGTGATTTCTTATATAGGGCCCATGCTATCAGAAAGATCGAAGAGAAATCGTATTTAAAGGATTTTCAAAAAATCCATTAAAACAATTTCATGAATTTGGTTTTTCCCGGAGGGATCAAAAAACAGGGTGTGGAGTGTGGGTGTGGGTGGGGTGTGGGTTTTGGTGCGGGTGTGAATGGGTGAGTGGGTGTGGGTGTGAATGTCCGTTTGAGTACTACCAAAGAGGAGACGCACACCCACACCCACACCCACATCCACACTCTTCTTTGTATTTGGTCACTAGAGCACTCAATACATTGCACACATGACTAGATCCATCGAGTCCAAATTTTTTTTGGGTTTGGGTGTGGATAAATAGATCAGGACACCCACACCCACACCCACATCCTTCTTGAGCCATCTGTTACTCTGATTAGCATCTCTTAATTACTAACATGTTTTTTTTTATTATTTCCATCTTATAACCGCTGAATGACGGTCAAACATTATTCGAATCAAAATATTCAACAAATCTACGATGGCTATTATGTCTCAATGTTCATGATCAAATATTGCCCTGCAATATAACAAAATGTCAGCATTATGTTTGCTCTTCATTTACCACAATATCTTTCTACTATCGACAGATGAAATTAACTTCATCTTAAGGAAAACTTTATGTGACAATACACTGACGAATATCATAGAATTTGAACATGAGAAACTTCAATATCTGTGAACATTTGTCAAAACTACTCCAATAAAAACAATCACTTGCTTGCAATTACCCATACTCATCTATTCTCACTCTCAAAGTATCGGTTTAATCACATCCGCAGTTTCTTCTTCTATAGCAGGAAACACATCATTTGAATTTTGTTGAATTTTTATTGTAAATTCTCAAAGGAAACACAAAAGGAAAAGAGAGGAAAATATATGGACTAAATGTTTAAAACAGTTTTGTCTCATGACACGTCTGCAATAATTCTTTCAATTCATTGATATTTAAAATACATTTGAATTTTAAAGCATATATTAGATTTCACAATATATTCACATGAATAATTAAATCGTTAATTTTGTAAATATACCTTAATTTGCATAAGTTTTTTTTGTATTTTATCCTCATATTGGGCTGAATGTATTGGATATCTGAAGCATAATAGGATTTCAATTATTTTATTGATATGCAACTAAATGAAATATGTGTTTTCTAACCATACTGCTTTTTAGCACCCGATATTTTGAATAGATGGGTTTAGTAATCATTTTTGTTGTTCGAATGTTCTAAGTTAGTACAGCAATGATTGTAATCTATTGGTCACCACTCTCATACTTTTTTTATACGAGAATATTGATTCCAAAACATTTTACT